AGTAGCAAAGTTGAGCTGGAAAAGGAAACCGTCTCATCGATGCCGTCCGCAGCCCATGTTCACTTCCTCTCTGGCGCACTTGCGGCAGGCTTGGCAACAACTATCACCAACCCATTTGATGTTCTCAAGACCCGCGTGCAGCTGATGCCCTCCAAGTACCGCAACATGTGGCATGCTGCACGGCTGGTTTTACGTGGTGAGGGCGTCAGGGGCCTGTTTGGTGGGCTGAGCCTGCGTATTGGGCGGAAGGCCATTAGCTCTGCTTTAGCCTGGACGATCTACGAGGACCTGATATTGCGTGCTGAGACCTCCCGGTGGGCCCAGCAGGAGAAAAGCATGTTAACTTGATTCAGATCTCCTTCTCTCCTCTATTCAATCTGTATCATCATTATCATTATCATTTTCATTATTTTTATTATTCTTATTACTACTATCTGTTGTCTTTATCATTACTATCTGCTACTTCGTCTCCGGCTTCTTTTCTACTACGGTGTCATGGATCCCAGGTGTACGGTGTTCCGGTATTGATTTCAGGTGCGCAATGTACTCCATACATATATATATTGTTGGGTTAGCTAAAACAGGCGGCCTTGAAACGTTAATATCCCAGCTTATATCAAGAACTATTTTCAAATGTGAAAGTAGATAATTATCAACAGTATTACAAACCAATTAGGTTTCTAGACATTAGAATTAAAAGGGGAGGAGCCAGCAGGGTATAACTTGAGTCGTCCATTAAACGCCAACGCACACTGCGTAGCCAAGCCAAAGGCTTGCACAGCTCGTGCCAACCGCCGGGTTCCATTTATACAGGTTATTCAACGAAATACCGTTGGCCGCGGCGATGTCGTAGCAGGTATCGCCGCTAACTACAGTGTGCCACTTCTGACAGTTCGAGGCCACGCCTTGCTGCGTGGGTGCGGGCGGGGGAATCCCTGGACTAGTGGGAGTGACCGTCGGGCTTGTGGTCGAAGTGCCCGTGGGTACCTGCACAGGGGTGGTTCGGTACCCAGTTTGCTCGTGGATCCCCCAAGCATTCTCCAACAGTAACGGCTAATACCAAGAATGTTAGCCTGTTGGATCCAAGATGTGATGGAATAACTAGAGGGTTAGAATTAATAATTGGATGAAAATATACCTTTCAGGCCTCTCCGTTTCAACTCATCCAGGAGTTGCTGGATCAGGAGATCAACAGTAGTCTGATGTACGTCATGAGCCAGCGTAATGCTGCCACCTGCGTTTAGACCATCCCTAAAGAAACCAACGCTGACACTAACGCCGTCAGGAGTATCATGCTCATAATCCTTGGTGTCAATATCAGCTTCGATAACATGATACTTAAGGTCGGCCATAGTCTGCAAGACCAAGGGGCTATATGCAAAGTAGGGCACGCGCATATAAGTCGGGCGGTATCCATTAGTAATAGTAGCTAGAACGTCATCGAGCTTTGTCATTTCGGATATGATGCCGGCGCCATTAAGGGTGGATAGATCGGCGTGGTCGTAGCTATGACTTAGTTAGTAGTTTGTACAAACCGGCAATTAGACTAAAAATCACTCACGTATGGGAAGCAAATTGATGGCCGGTGTTAAAGGCTTCGGAGCATCACGGGAGCTATAGTCTGTAATAAGACCCAAAGTTCTGAGCATTAACAAAGAGTGTTGCCTTGGCCCCCATTTGCGTCAAAATATATCCAATAGCTTGTTGGTATAGTCATAGGGACCGTCGTCAAAAGTGATTGCAACAGTGCCCTTCACAGTGCAGCTCCGGATGACTTGACCAAAAGGTACAACAATAGTGGGAGTAGACGGGGCGGCAGCCGAGGTGGAGGTAGAGGCAGAGGTGGAAGAGGATGTGGTGGAGGTTAAGGCTGAGGAGGCAGGAGCAGTCGCAGTAGCATTCGCAGTCGATGAGATAGCAGGTTGGGCTGTTGAAGTTGCTGGCTGGGGAGTTGGAGTAACCGGCTTTGACGACGTAGTTGTAGGCTTTGTCGTAGTGGTTGCTAGTCCGGTCGTCGATGTCGCTGGTGTAGTTGTTGTAGTCGCAGCCCTAGTGGACGGCCTGGGAAAGGGGAACCACCAGTCCGGGATCCATGACTTTCCCACAAGCTGCGGTAATTCGGGATGCAATGGTCCGGCTGCAGTGCAACAGGCAAGCAGTGCCGCAACGAAGAACGTGTATAGCCGCATTAACATGATGAGGGATGTAAAAAAGAGAGAAATTTTTATATAAATATAAAATATAACAAAATAACACCCAGATGAAAGTAAAGGTAGCAGGAGTATGAAACGGACGTTAAAAAAAGAGTGTCTGGTATAATCATTTAAACGAGTGACATTTGACAGCGGGCTGATGATGGCCTGGAGCAGGGTCAATGAGCATAGTAGTCCGAGAGTGCCCTGCTTTCTTTATATATTAATATTCAGATCCTTGCCCTTGACAAGACCGGACTATCAAGAGAAAAGTTGAGAAACCAAGTTGTTCTCGTACTCGGCAAGAGGCGAGCGGGTCTTCCAATCAGTCAGTCAGCGAGATGCCAGGGGTAGAGGCAGTTGTTGGAAGTAGCTGGACTGCCCCAAAATATGGAGATAAAATTGTGCACGTTCCCACCCATTCTGACCCAGAAGATCTAGATGGGAAAGTTGGCTGGAAGGCTCTGTATCAAAATCCTTGCTTGCATGCAGGGGAGGGATCCAATGACGGATCTGGCAGACTTCCAAGGGTGTTGCATATGACTAGTCCCGGCATATACTGGCCAAACAGATACTGCATATGTGTCTCTTCCCTATGAGAATAGCCTTGTTTCTTCGTTTTCATAGAGAAACAGGCATTAAGTACCCGTCCAACTTTTTATGTATTTTTACGTTGGTCAGGTTACAGCGTGGAACATGTCTCAACGATGGTGTGCTCCAAATTGACTATCGTCTCATCCTTCGCTACACTGTGAAGAAAAATAGCTTTGGAGAGAAGATATCTTGACCAGTGTTTTCTGCGCGCATGGGAGAAAGTTCGCCGTCCAGGGGTATCCAAGGAAAACGACCAATGAAAACGCCGTCTTGAAGCCATTCTTCGCTTGACATGTGGGTGTGGTCCATGATCGATCGTCTAATCCGATTCCAGATGCCGAGGTGGCGACGGATCACATACCTTCCAGGCACAAATCTAGATACCATTAGCGCCTCCAGCACTCTCCACACTCTGACTATATCCCAAAAGCGTCAGCTGTAGCCGCAGTAAGTGGCCTCCGTTGGCGTCGCCGTATATCCGTTTGCGCGGTGTGAACTTATCTCTGTAGAATAAACCTCTGGTGAGAAATAAAACCTCGCTAAGACGTTTCATGATGGTCCCTTAACAGATAAATTGATGTCGCAAGTGAACTCCGGAGGCTTACAAGGTGGCGTGAAGCCAGCGCTGCAAGGTGAATCACCAAGTCCTCCCGAGCTGAACGGCAATTATCCCTTCGACAATGGAAGATATGCTCTGGGAGAAGCCGTGTGACTATCCGCGGAATCACCGGCTGCTAATATGAATTAAATATGTTGGGCCCAGCTTGTCGGATCAGAAACTTCTCGATTCGTGCACATCTTTTGTACCATGTTAAATCGCTTAGTCGCCGAAATGTACTAACTAATTCGGGCTAGCAGGGGTGGTGAATACGGGATTAATCGAAGATGGTGGTTTGACCGAGTCATCGTTCGTTCGTTTTGTCCATCGATTCCTCTTCGTGATGGTAAGCGGACGATGGAGTTAATTAAAGTGATTTATGTGGCTAAAATTAGACTTTAAGTTTGCTGGCCAGACTTGGCTAACTAATTTATTTACCATTGGTTTAAACAGCGTCAGTTTAACTATAAACACGATATCCTTATTTGTTTGATTTTGTTCGAGGAGTTTAAGCGAAGGTTGACTGGCCAGTCAAACACAGCTATATTAAACACAAGTAGCCAATGATAATTAAATACCGTTTGTGCTCGTTGCGAGAATCTTGGAATAGAGGTCAGTTCAATATACTCTATGTACTTTTCTCTTGATCTGTAAACATGAGATTATATTGTAAGAGTCATAATCATTCAAATGAAAGACAAATAAAAGAAAGTGTCCACATTAATCGGACAATAAACATATAGAAGATAGAAGGGAAGTGAGTAGAATATGAAATAGACGTAAACCCATACAAAGGAAATATAAAGAAACCAATATACCACCAATCCGTCTACCAAAATAGGCTCCTCCGGTCCTGTTTCTTCCTAACAAGGTATAAGCCATCTCTCTTCTTGTCATTGACCTTCATTTCAACGGTTACAGGGCCGTTGTGAGGAGAAGCAGTCAGAGTACGCTGGCCACGTAATTTGCGGGTATGGTCAAAGAGTCTGTCCTGCTCCTCTTGACTGAGAGAATGGTAGATAAGCATGTAATCTGCATCGTTCTATAATTCAGTCATACTAGTTAGCGAGAAACTCTTAGTTTCACACAGTAATCGGTAGAGACAACACTTACAGGATCAAATTCCCAAATCAGACTAAACGCATCAAGAGTTCGAGGTTCGAGATAGCGGCGATGAACCTAAAGGCAGAAGTCGTTAGTTGAACCAGAGTTTCAAATACGATATCTGCGAAGCTTAGGGTAACAGTGTAAGCCAGATAGCTAAAACATACCTTGACAAATGCCTCTTCGTCTTCTATTTGCCTGTGTTTTCCGTGGTGGACATGTTTTTCGACATGAACAAGCTCCATTTCCTTGAGTGACTTGCCTTGCATGATGGCAGTAATCTTATCCTCGGAGAAACCAGCACTGCCTAATAACTGGTTTACCTTGTCGTTGAACTCCTTCTTGGCCTTCTCTGCTTCTTCTTTTTGCTTCGCCAACCTCTCAGCCTCCTTCTTCTTGTACTCCTCAATGGCACTGGCTTTTAGTTTGGCCTCCTTCTGCAATCGCTCCATTTCGTCCTTCTCCTTCTGGGCAATTTCAGCCTGGACTTTCTCTCGAATTTTCCTCTCGCGCTCCTTTTCCTCACGCTCCTTTTCCAGGGCTTTCATTCGCTCAATGAGGAGAGCATCTTCCATTTTTCGCCTGGCAAGCTCATCACTTTCCATTTTCTTGAGCCTTTCAAATTGTATCTCTTTTTCAATATCTCGTCGGGTCAAGGGGTGGTCATCACGCTCAGGCCGTTTCTCTAACCGCCCCATCTCCTGCATCTCCATATATTCCTGCAATTTCCGCCATCGCCTTAGACTCCGAATTTCCTCTTCTTTGGCAATACGAATCTCTCGTTCCAGTTCGGTCTCTTGTCGAGGCTGTGGCTGAGGCTGTGGCTGAGGCTGAGCAGAAGCGTTTCCACTGCCCTTGCTCGCCTCAATCCGTTCACGTTCCTCGCGACGGATGCGGTCTTCACGACGCATACGATCCTCTTCCTTTCTCATCTCATCTAGTTCCCGTTCTCGCTGTCTGATTCTCTCTAGACGAATCTCAGCTTCGATTTCGGCTCTTCGAGATGGTTCTTCACGTTCTAGTCGGCGAATAGCCCTGCGCTCATGACGAATAATATCATCCTCTAGGTCACTCAGTGCATCAGCCAATACAGGCCGTCGCTGGGAAGCAGATCTTGCCCGACCGACTGGCACCTGTGGGGGAGCTAGCTTAGTGTTTTCTTGCAGTCCCTGGTCGTTCTTGATATCAATGTATATCTGAGCATCGCCCCCACGGTATGGATTGGCGACAGATGCAGAACGCGGCCGCCTTTTCTCTTCAACGACAACCTTTTCACGGGGTCGACGATGGATACGGTGATAGAACTCCTCTTCTGAATCGGTATCCGAGTCTGCGTGGCGGTAGTATTTCCGATACATGACTGCCTAATTTGCACGAGTTTAAAAAGGTATATATGGTAACGCTGGCGTTGTTAGCCAAATGGCCGTGCTGCACTGGGCTCCAAGGCAAATTCGTAGGCGTTATGTTGCCTGGATAAGAAGCGTTTCCCTTGGTTTCGTTTACGGATAGCGTACGCAACTCGAGGGAGGGAACAAGAAGTTCTAGTACTTCCAGTAACAGTGATGTTTGACCCAGATTATTTGAGGATAAGCTGACGATAAGTCAGGATCGAGGAGCTCTCGATATTCGATAGTTGGATGAGAAAAGGTGGTTGGGAAGCTTGTGGAAGAGTGTCGTGACGTTGAAATAAATACGTCCGGCTCGGAAAAGGTGGGCGCCAGAGCCGCAAGCGAGAATGAGGGGCTCCTCTGATAGGGCAGCAATCAAGGAGTCTGTTGGCGCCTGGGGACAGCGCAAGGCTCCAGCTTCAGGTTTCAGGACGGCGTCGTGCGTTCTCAAGGCTCAAAGCTCAGTGGTTTTCCTCGTCTTGTCGATGCTGCCGAGATATGTACGCAGGCGTTGGGACTCCCTGGCGAAGGGGAGTAGAATCAGGTTTTGTCATGCGACGGCATGCACCCTTGTCACGCCTATGGATGTTGTGTCTGCCCAGCAGGGCGGCTAGTAAAACACCGCGGCCCCGTCACGGGAGAAAGGGAAAGCCCAAGTATGGGGCATGTATGGGGCACGAAGCAGTGTCAGTCAGCCACCCAGCCACCCAGCCATCCGGACGTTGGGCATGCACGTCTGAAAGCCGACAGACAGGCAGTCGGCGGTCGTTTCTCGAACGTTGTTACTCACTCACTGGCTGGATCATGCCGGCCTGGCGTTTGCCTGTATACCCCTTTGCAGTGACTCTCTTATATACTCAAAACATGCATAGGATGCTTCATACTCCGTACCCACGAATAGACTCAAGTTTAAAACAACCGATCAATTACAGGATGGTTCCATGGTTCCCTAAAAAGGCTAACAGCATTTTAATCATTTAGACCGGACGGCTGCATCATGTCGACTATTATTTTCAATGGAGAGAGCGCTTTATAGTCGTATTCTGAATGGGACAAATAACCCTGCAAATTCTGTGGGTTGGCGTATCGTCTTGATACTGTGCAGTGTCTCCATAGCTCTAGCTAAAGTGCTGCTTCGTCTGCTCGTCTGCCTTTAATGTTGAATTCCCAGTTGAGGGAATACACCCAACTACCAGTATGAAGCTTTCTCGCGTAAACCAGCGTGTTGCCATATATTTGTCATGAACCATTCGTTCCGCATGAAATACCATGGTGGCTTTTCGCCCATCATTGCAGTAGTCAGGCCGCAGCAACTAAGGTAGAGAGGCCCACCCTCCACCGATGGCCGTGCCTGAATAACTGTCCAAGAATAGAGGCGCTTGAATCCATACTATGACCTTCCGCCACTCCGCAGCATCTGTTCTATATGTTCGCGACTGTTTTTATGCGTCGTCTCCAAGTAGTGTAGCCTCTTTTCGAGAGATGTAATCTCTGTTTTTAGTTCTTTCGTCTCCTTTGACAGTCTGGTGTTCACCTTATCTATCGGCGTGGCAACGAACCTGCGAGATGCAACACACAAAGGGGTTAGGCTACAGTTATTTTAAAGAAGTCATTTGTTCCATCCAGAAATCTTGTGGTTATACGCACATTTTGCCTACGCCTTCATATACGTTCGTGTCCTTTGGGACTTGGCCAATCTCCCCGGAAGTAAGCTCTAATAGGCGCATTTCCCGCTGCTTCGCAGTTATCTGAGTCCTGACGACGTTGATCTGTTGCTGAGCAGCAACAGCCTGTGATTCGATCTCCTGTACAAGCTGTTTCGTAGAAAACGGCCATAAATTTAGTGTTCTTTACTTCTCTTGGTGCAGAACGAGGGGTAAGCCATCTTTCCTTCCTTCCTTACCTTCTGGAGAGCTTCATTTGGAATGGACATCGTCGTTGCGTCAGCTGATGACAGCCTCGCTAAGAAGTTAGAGACCGTAACTTGACCGTAAGTGGGATGGAGACAGAATAAAACCGTTAAAGCTGCTCTCTTTTGCTCCAGATGTTGGTGCTTCAAAGTTCGTTTGCTGCAAGGAAGCTCATGCCTCTCACGTGATAGTTACCTAATGTGGCTAATTCCGGCCGAACTTGTTAGGCCCCTGCTATTTATACCTCTCTGCTCGTGATTTGTAAGCAGGCTATACCTAATTAGGCTTTATAATTGACTATTTGTACCTCTCTTACTAATATCATCTATAATTATTATTGTCGGAGCGTTAGCGAAGACTATTGTATTTCAAATAGTTCAAATAATCGGTTGAAATGTTCAAATCTGTGGGTCCTTGAAAAATAGCTGTAAAATAGCTGATTGGTTGGAATTCTCGCTTCTAATTGGTTACTAGAACAGTGCATATCTAGTGGCTTGGTAAGGATAACAAAGCCCTTATAAAAATTATTATTAATAAGGTTTTTCAGCTTCTTTTTCAGCTTCTTTTTTAGCTTCTTTTTTAGCTTCTTTTAGTACTTTAGTAAGGATGACTAAGCCTTTATTAAAAAAATGACTAAGCTATTATTAAAAGGATGATTAAGCTATTATTAAAAGGATGACTAAGTACTTATTAAAAGAATAACTAAGCAATTATTAAAAGAATAACTAAGTAATTATTAAAAGGATAACTAAATAATTATTAAAAGAATAACTAAGCTATTACTAAAAGAATAACTAAACCCTTATTAAAAAGATAACTAAGCTATTATTAAAAGGATAATTAAGCTATTATTAAAAGAATAACTAAGTACTTATTAAAAAGATAACTAAGTAATTATTAAAAGAATAAATAAGTAATTATTAAAAGGATAACAAAGTAATTATTAAAAGAATAACTAAGCTATTACTAAAAGAATAACTAAAGCCTTATTAAAAAGATAACTAAGCTATTATTAAAAGAATGATTAAGCTATTATTAAAAGGATGACTAAGCCTTTATTAAAAGGATAACTAAGTCCTTATTAAAAAGATAACTAAGCCCTTATTAAAAGGATAACTAAGCTATTACTAAAAGAATGATTAAGCTATTATTAAGAGGATTACTAAGCCTTTATTAAAAAGATAACTAAGTACTTATTAAAAGGATAACTAAGTCCTTATTAAAAAGATAACTAAGCTATTATTAAAAAAATAATTAAGCTATTATTAAAAAGATAACTAAGCACTTATTAAAAAAATAACTAAGTCTTTATTAAAAAGATAACTAAGCTCTTATTAAAAGGATGACTAAGCTATTACTAAAAGAATAACTAAGCTTCCATTAAAAAGATAACTAAGCCCTTATTAAAAAGATAACTAAGTACTTATTAAAGGAATAACTAAGCCCTTACTAAAAGGATACCTAAGCCTTTATAAAAAAAAAGCTCTACAAATAAGATTAAAAAAATCAGAAAATTTAATTAAAAAAAGAATATAAA